CTCTCTCTCTCTCTCTCTCTCTCTCTTTCTCGATGGCCAAAGATTCTTACCTCTACGAGATTTCGTACAAACGATGTGTGTTTTCTGAGATCTGCCAATCGAGCAGTGCAACTATCGTTAATGGCAATTGGCAACTGATTTTTATGTATTATGAATACGCCTGTGTACGTAATCTTTTCGTCATTTCTCCCGCGAAGGGAGATGCGTCAGGAAAATTCAGTAGCCTTTTATTAAAGTAAGTATTAAGCATTAAAGTAGGTGAGAACGCGCCAGTTATAATTCATGTTTCGATTTCCAGGCTGAACAGTCACCGAATAACGTACAATGGGTCACAAAACGGTTATGACACAATGAATTTCAGAACGTAGTCAAATGAGAGAACTTATTTTTTATTAATTCGTTCTTTTATTGGACCGTTGGTTATGCTCTGGAAATTCATTGCTTCTAAACCGTTTTGCGACCTACTATACACATAACGCTTGAGATTTAAAATCGCATAAGTAGTTCTAGTTATAATAGCTTTTTTTTAACTGTAATAGTTTTAATCTTATTCGTATACACATAAGGCCCAAAATTGTGTAACTCTAGATCTAGGGAATATTCAGGTATCAATGGCCGTGTGTATGTAAAGTTATAGTATATGATACTTCCAATATGCGTTGTTTCCTTGTTTAAATATAGCCACACTTTGCTCATTTCCGATCACGCGTGTATACACTTGCTAATTAATATATTAATTATAGAATAACGTTATACTATCTCTTCACTTATCGCGAATTATTATATGATTCTATAATGATAGGGTATCGAGCAATTATCGAGTGATAATGACTGTAGCAGTTTATTAACAGTTCATGGAAAGACAAAGTTTTAGAGAATCTCTTCCGGGAATCTCACGAATAGATAGGATACATGTATATGCTACTATAATTTTTTTTAACTTCGTCACTTTTTTAACGCTCTACCTACACACTGGGTTACGGTACTCTGACCGATTTTGAAATGTCCACCCCTGTAAAATATTAAGCAGTGGGGGATTGGGACTTGGGTGGTGGGGGAAATGTTAGAGGTATCTTCTTCGACATATAGTACTGGACAAAGCATTCGGCAAGACTTTTTTGATTTTTCATGTTGAGAGACCTAGAAAGAAAAAGTTAGATGTGTAGGCACGGGTCTCTCTTTCTACTTTCTGTTTATTGGTTAAATTTTGTCTAAAGAGAAAGGGAACAGTATCGTATCTTTAAAAGTTGGGAACATACGTTACTGTATATGAGTTACTACATATGATTACATGTTGTACGTGTAATACATATATATTACTAGAGATGTACTTCGAACTATTCGAATTTGAATCGAATAAAATGAAATTCGATTCGATTCAAATTCGAATCCCTATGATTCGAATCCGAATAATTCGAATTGAAAAGATTCGAATACGGATCGCGCACATTAGCATTAACAAAGAATTATTAAAGACATCCAGCCTTACGGAAATTAGCATGGCTTGAAAAGTTTGCTATACATTAAGATTTTCTTCAAAAATATAAAAAGAAGATAATAGCTTCTAGATAAACTTTTACCGATAACTGTCGGATCGATATGTGTCGTTGTGCAGCTTTCAAAGTTGGAACTGTACATATATATATATATATATATATATATATATATTTCATACATGTTTACCGACTATATATTATATATCTCTTACCTTAAAATGAATTGATTTCACATGATCAATGTTATCTCTCTCATACTGAAATCATTATTTTCACGTTGAATTCAATGATTATGTTAATTAAAAATTCTTTCAACGATTCAATTCGACTCGATTCGGATGAAATTTCATCGATTTGATTCGATTCGAATTCGAAATTAAAATCTGAGATTCGATTCGATTCGATATTAAAAATCTTTGATTCGCACATCTCTAGTAGGCAGAGGATTAAGATTCTTCCGTGAGAAGTCTCAGACTTAGTATCTCCCCGTGTTGTTCAACTTTGCTCTATTAGACATAATGGTCCGACAAAAAAGACAAAGATAGACAGAAGGAGGAAGGGAGGACAGAAGGATTGATTTGTTGTGTAAGGAATAGGAATTTAGACAAAACAGCGGGTTAAATCAAACGACAAAGCAAAATGCTGTTCTTTCCGGGTGCAAAGTTCAAATAAAGAGAAAAAGCAACTATACGTCCAAATGAGGAGGAAACGGATTTTGTTAAATATAATAGTTGATATGAATCGCTAGACAGCGATTAGAGGATTCTTATCTTTCCCGTGATTCGCATAAATGTTATGCGTTTCTGAGGTTTTCCGGCAGAGTAGGGCCGGATTATCACAAATAGCAGTGAGCGAGTGTTGGTTTTATGCATTCGATTGTGGATCCGGGCACTTAATTTTCTCGAAATTTTTTCCATGGAACGAGGTGACGGCTAGATTTTCTCATTTTCTCATTTCTCATTGCTCGAAAATATTGAGTTGAACGTCGGATCTCAAATCTTCTTCGTTGAATCGTGACTATTCCGAGTGGCTTGCAGTCGGAAAGGGTGAAATTCTATTAAAATATATTAAAATAAAATTGGATATTAAATAATTAAATAATAATTAAAATAATTAAAAGTAAAAGAATTCGAATAAATCATTCTTGAACAAGTATTTTTTCAAGTTTCTTGAAGACGACTTCTTGAAAACGACAGCAAATGGCTACCTACAGCATCAAGATAGATCAATAGCTTGTACATTTCGGGATTCTTTATTGACTCTTCAAGTTCGACGAAATTTGCGGGGTCAATGTAGAATCAGTTCAGTAGAGTAGAACTCATTTCGACTCGGGTAAATACTCCCAGATAAACTTGCTCTTAACTAGTTTTCTTTAAGTCCTCACATAGAGGAAATGGCAACAAGTTACAATTTTTAACGTTAAAGGAGCACAAGTCTTAATGACTTTATAGTCACTATTATAGTCTTTCCTAAATAGACTATTATAGTCTATTTAGGAAAGAAATAGTTGATCTAATTAAAATTATAATTATTTTTGGTCTCATCTTTTGGTTGTTTTAACACGAAAATGATAGTAGTAACATGCATATAAGATTATTATTACCAATATTATAATAGACTTAAATTAAATTAAATGATCTTCTTCACCATAATTTATAGTAATTATTTCTCTATGTGATTATAATTACAAATACGTTTACATTTTATTCTCAATATATAAACACAATTTACATTTTATTCTCAATATATAAACGTTATATCTAGAATTTCTTCATTGACTTACAAGTTCGACTTGCAGTCTATTTACAAGCTTAAGGGAATGCTGAAGCTGAAAACTTTACCGATAGCATACTGACGTTTTTCTGCAAAGTTCAGTTTAGCAGCTGAATAACAAATGCTTTTATGCACTTACGTATTTGCATATACGTGCAAAAATAAATAGAAGCTCAATATATGACGGAAATGAAAAAAAGATTTAAATGTAAAATCTCAAGCTGTCAGCGTCATATTTGTCAAAATAATTCAAAAGTTCCACAATTTATATATACCAAAAAGTGTAGATATTCTAAGCAGAAAAATTTTGAAAAGCATTGCTGTACTTTCGTATTTGAATTCAGAAACTTAAGAATATCGGAAAAATTTGCAGAAAGGTTTGTATATATATGTGGTTAAGTTTTTCGCTAAATATGATAAAACATACATTTACATAAATTTTGTATGTACAAGAAATACGAGAGATAACGTGACTGAGCTAGTGATGATTGTCTCTATATTATCGGTGTTTCTCGAGTTTGTCATGGACTTCAGCATCCCCTTAACTTAGAATCTTAGTTTAGACTCTGGTAAGTTTAAAAAATTATATATATATATATATATATATATATATATATATATATTTCGATTGAATTACCAATACGAGAGAATATATAAAATAGAACTATGTATATATACATATATCCATCATATGTCCATCATATTTCCATCATGTGTGTGTACATTTATTTTTACCATTTATTTAAATAGCAACTATATATATAGAAGTATAAAAATAATACTGGAGTAAATGTGGCAGTATTATTTTATTCTATTACCAAATAACCTTGAGTTTTTTCGCGCCTTATTCCTCGTCTCAACGTTTAACCGCCGCTACGAGTTTTACGTTCCGGAAGAAGAGATGCAGTATTTACTAAAAAAATTATACTTTTTAGTCTTCTCGTATTTCCGTCTCGCTCTCAGTTTCTCTTACTTAAATATTTTATCTTACGCGCATGAGAGAAACCTTCCAAGTCTGGCGCACCTTAAACATCCGATCTGCGCAACAGGCGCGTCTGGCATGGAAAATATGCGGAAACAAAAGAAAACAGAAATATCGTATCGAAAATAATGTTTCTTGTTATCAAAATTTTAATTGAAAAGTTAAAATTTTTTACTATTATTTTAGAAATATTCGCACAATACTTGGACTTGAAAAAGGAAAACTACTCGCAGTAAAAATAAAAAATATCTTCGAAGAATCAAGTATAAGCCTTTATAAGGCTAAAATGATTCTATAACGCACAGAAAAAAGAAGCTGGTTGAATTAATGTGAGATGTTTGATCAAAATTTGGCTGAGGTGAACAGAATTTCTAGTTATAATCAAATATGTTAGAACATTTGGATGCAATATCGATTATAGATGAGTTATTGTATATCCAATCTACCATAAATCCAATATCTTAGAGAGAGAGAGAGAGAGAGAGAGAGAGAGAGAGAAAAAGAGTGCTTGAATCTCAAGTATTCGACTCTGTAAGAAATTAATCTTACAAAGCTCATCCTACTGCTTCCCGCGTACGAGCATTGTGTCATAGTTTTAATTAAATTAACAAGGAAATTACGATAAAATATAACTTTATCCAAACTTTACTTTTTTAATATTAAGTTTCATGGTTGGAAAATTGTATAATATAAGGTGATTACAACATATAACAAATATATAACATATAACAAATCTATCAACAAGAAAAGTGGCGTAACGCGTAAGGCAGCCGATTTGTGGTCCAGAGGATCTCGGGTTCAAAATCTATCAAGATAAAGGCCAGTTTCGTGATGATCTTTTTTTGCGTAGTTGCCGCATGCAACCACATTTGTCTAGTTATTTTAATTAGGACGCATATAATCAAATTCTTATTAGACTTACAATCCAAATTATTCATTTTTTTTATCAAACAGTCTTGTTATATAATGTGCCCAAATCTTAGATTAATTCAACCAATTTTTTTTCCGTGCAGTATTTTCTTTATTGCGGTCCAGCGAGGGCGGCTCTTTGCGACTCGTTGCTCACTGCGCTTTCGTTGCAAACGCGAAGTATGTACACAGTGTATAGAGACAAGAGTAAGTAATCGTCATCGTTCGAAAATTCGTCGCTCCGAAAAGTACGGCCGATAACGTCGCGGCGGTGAGTTCGCGCCGCGTTTCTCTCCGTCACATCGCGACAGTTTGATTCCGCGAGCTTTCGTTGTCCCTCTTTCTGTCGCTTTGGAGAAGCTCCTGGATCTCGCGGAATGTCCGACCCTTGGTCTCGGGCACGCAGAATATCACCATTATGAACGCTAATAAGCACGAGGCCGAGAAGAAGTAATAAACGGCGTGTGCGCCCAGCAGATCACCAATTACTTGATACAGCTTGGAGACGGCGAAGCCGAGCACACCGTCAAAGACGGTGATGATAGCGCCAGCGAACGCTTTCACTTCGGTCGGGAACAGCTCGCCAATGAGCGCATTCGGCAATGTGCCTAATCCGAGTTGAAACCCCACCTGAAAGACGATTACGTCGACCACCGGAAGTAAATTCGCCGCGGAGACGTCGACGCCCCTGCCGTCCAGCATGAGATATATCGCCAGGATAGCGAGAGTAATGGAGGAGGCCAGAGTGGAAACAATCAGTAGCGGACGTCTGCCTGCGCCCTCGACGGTCGCAGTCGATAATCCCCCTGAAACGAGGCCGACCGCGAGTACCAGTATCGTAGCCAGGTTGGAGTCAATGCCGATAGCAGCCTTCTTGAAGAGCACTTCAAGGTACTGCATAGTGCTGAAATTTCCGCTAAGCTGCTGCGCCGCCACCAGGCCCAATATGATGCTAAGCGCTCGGGCGTTGCTGGGCAACAACATCAGCTTCAGTTTACCGACCCAACTACGCTTAACCGGCTCGGTTCTGGCGCCGGGTCCGATGACGGGAATGTTGTCTCGAACATCTTCGATGAAGACACTTCGGAGAGCGATCTCCAACTCTCTACGAGCTTCGTCCCGATCACGGATTCCTTTGAAGAAGGCCAGAGATCTGGTTGCTTCCGCTTTGCGGCCTCTAGCTGCGAGGAAAGCGGGCGTCTCAGGAAACCAAGAAAAGCACGCCACGAAAAGGATTGGTACCGCGAGTAGTATGGCGGCTAAAGCTCGATAGGATACCCAGGGACCGATGCTGCACGTCAGCAACGAGCCGGTGAACACGTTGACGGCAATCAAGGTGCCGAGGGCGCCGCGGATCCCGACGTCAGCCACCTCCGATACGTACATGGGGTTGGTTGTATACGAGATACCCACACCAACGCCGAGAATTACTCTAGAGATGTAAAGCGCCGACACGCTCTGAGCGAAAAATATAACGGTCCAGCCGATGATGAAGAAGCCGCTGGCCAGTAATAGGCATTTCTTACGACCGTATCTGTCGGCGAGACTCGCGCCGAGGAACGGACCGATCATAGATCCGATCACCGTTAGCGACACGATCCAGGAGCCCTCGTCGTCGGTTATCTTCACCGGCACGTCACTGGCACCGGATGTGAGCCGGGAGAGCGACGTGGTGGTCCATCCGTAAACGGTGCCAACTGCTACCATCGATAAGGTCGCTGTAAAATAAAGATCGATTGAAGGCCAATGGACGGTCATACAATTGAGAACGATTGAGCGTCACATTATCACTTGTAGAGACACGATATCTCGTGTAACCTGACAAACCTGATATGCACGCGAGCCATTGCCTCCACTGCGTCCGTTTGCTGTCGTGATACTTCTCCTGGCTGGACGAAGCTTGAATTACAATATCTCCCTTTGATGCTTCTTTCAGCGTGCTGATCTGCGGTGAAAACAAATATTGATCTTCTCTGGAAAGACGAGAATTCATGGTTTCTTTTTATTTAGTAACGATTGAATGTCATCTTTCCCCACTGCACTCTTTTCAGACTTTCTCAAATTTATTTATTACAAATTTTACATGACAGCCGCACGCAGAAGGATATTATTCTACTACTAAGAAAAGCGATTACTCAATTTACTTCCCTCCCCTTGAAATATGATTATTTTCAACAAAGAATATTTTCTTTGTATGATAATATTTTCTTCACATATATTCTTCAGAAATTTTAGGAAAGCTTATTATCATATATTTAAAAGAAGAATTTATTCTCTTCACAAGAACATTATGAAGAGAGGATGTTAACAATTTGGTCATTCCTGGTTCATTAAAAATATCTTAACTAATCATTGGAAACTTCTAGAAGCAAAAAATAACAAATATTTGTCTATGTTTGAGAAAAATTATGAAGATCATTATATATTATTGATTGTTGAAATAGTCATAAAATGATTTTAAGCTTTGTACTCTTGATATGTCTTTAAAACAAAATCAATTTCACATTTATGTTAAAAAATAGATTGAGAAGTAAATGTATTTGAGAAGTAAATGTAGATAAGAAGAGTAAATGTAAATGGGAAAAGTAAATATAGATAAATTGATTTTTTGATTTACATATAATATTATATGTATATAATACATATGTGTGTGTGTGTGTTGTAAAGATATATAGGTAACTATAAAAAATCTGCAATTGTATAAGTGAGAGTGATGAATATACATGCATGCTGATTATCTTCCTCTTCCTTATTTTTTTTAACATCCTTTTCCTTATTTTTTTTAAACTTTTCGTTTGTCTCTTAAAGTATCTCAAGCAAAGAATTTGTTAGGAAAGGACTGAAAAATGTATATTTTAAGTTTTTCCTTCCAAATCCTTATGCATGTATAACACATAAATATTGCGTAAACAAAGAAAACAAACTTTTTTACATTTACAACTCACCTCTCAAGACATAAATATGCAATTGATTTTATTTTAAAGAGATATCAAGGGTACAAAGTTCAAAAAATACTTTATATAACTATTAGAATAATCAATAATAAATTTCGATTTTCGTAACCTTCCTCGAACCTGGTGGACAAATAATTATTGTTTTCTGTTTCTAAGAGATACCAGAAAAAGTTTTCAATGATTGATTAAGATTCAGTGATGCAAATTTTTTAACATCCTTTTATTTTAACATCTTTTACCGAAGAAAAATTTGGTTCGACTCTACATAAATAAGCAAACTGAATTTTTCTTTTAATTTAATATTTTTGATTAAAATTCTAATCTTACTAGCATTTAGAATATTTTCAATAAATTTAATGCTTGTGATGAATTCATGATAGATTTGTCGATATATAAACTTATAAAACACTTGAAACACAGAGATAATATTTATTCGAATGCAGCATGTATTTTTCTATATGCAAGAATTAAAATTCTATTTATAGACAAAATAGAAATAAAGTATCCATTTGATAAAAAAAAATCGTTATATTCTTATCATCGGTCCGATATGCAAAAGTCGGTTCTGTTGTTGAAATTGGGTGTTGAATCAAGATTAGTCACGTGGTGTTTGTGCATAAATCTTCTTGCGCGTGACAGAATGCAGAAATCTTTTCTGAAGCGAGGAAGCAACAGGTGACAGCGATAACGTAGATTAATGTGAAATACAAAAAGTGAAATAAAAATCATACGTTTCTCTTAAAATCTTCGTTTGATATACTCAAGAATCGTTGATTCTCTACAAGCTGCATTACGGAAAGCGGAGCAATTATCATCGGTTTTGCCGGAAACGTGGTCTAAAGAACGTATAATTGGGTTTATAGAGGGAAGAGGAGGAGGGACAAGAAAGAGAGGGAGAGAGAGAGAGAGAAAGAAAGAGAATTTTTTTTTATTAATGAAATCATGCGTGCGAGGAAACGTTTGCGGTGCACAATTTTCCCCATTGGATTCGTTTACCGATTGAGCGTGGCGCCACGATAATACTGTGATCGAGTGCACATGCGCATAGCTTTTTTTCAAGGCGTAGGCCGTTCTTCGTGAGTCGCGTGCTTGTTCACCACATAACCTAGCTCCGGAGCTCGTCAGGCAACGTAGCCGAAGCTCGTCAGGCGACGGCCCACACGGACTTATCGCGATGGTTTGATGCACGCGAGAGCGATTTGATAAGCGGGCGAGCAACGGTGAACTCCGGCTTGGCTGACGGCTTTCGTTTCGTAGGTACTCACCGATACAAGTATCACACGTCTCACGACCCGTTGGAGCCATCGCACGCACTTGTGACTTGCGGCTCTGAGCGTAACATCCATTTTTGCCTCGCGACGGGACATTCTCCGATCCTCAAGCGCGTATTGAGTTTATTTCCGGCAGCCGGTCCATCGCGTACGTACAATCGACATGCACATCCGCGTAACATACACCTGTATATCGTGGAGAACACCCGAAGCATGCAACGCTCGTTACACAACACGCTCGCGGCGAAGGGCGATGCCCTCCCTCCTTTGAATATCCGAGAATACGCTGAATCACTACTCATCAGCGGCACACACAACTCGTCTTTCACCGTCGATTAACGCGGATGTGTTTGGACGGATCCGTGTGGGAGTATATGTGTGGGAGATAACGAATAACGAGTCGGACTTCCTGGTTCGCAAGCCGGGCGATTTCGAACCTTTGATCGAGAACACAACGCTGAACGCTTCGCGAGTAAATAGCGCGCGTGGCTTTGGGAGTTTAGTTTGCCAAAAGTTACGAAATTTGCATTTTGCGAAGGGTTAAAAGTAAATGCTTTATGACCCAGCTCGTTCCGTTTGCGCGATCCGGCGAGTGACACGTGCCGAGAGAATTTTTTAAATTCTTGCGAATTTAACACAGGAATCGTTTAGCCCGCATATCATTATCTTCTTGCGTACTACGCCCAAAATCGAGGAGGATTTCACTGACAGATAAGCGAGAGATTCGCGACGCGTCATGAACCACGTGCGCTCGTGCGTGCGCGCGCGTGCGCGTCGCTGCGAACGCTCGTCGCGCTTCCCGTCAAGGCTGCGTCGTCGTTTCCCTCATGCCGCGTACGCTCGTAAAAATAACCTCGGGCGAATTTTCTGGCACACGAGAGGTAGAACCGATCGCGAATACGGAACGTCACGAATCCGGCGAAATGGACGTCGTGAAATCGATACTCACCAGCGGATCCGTCGTCCCTGTCATGACTCCTCTTCTCCGGTCTCTTTAAATCACGTGCGATCTAAAAAAAAACCTGTCGCGACGGACCGGCTTTCCTTGGTCGCGAATTCGACAGAAACAACCGTGATTTCGCCTGTATCTCTCCACCGTATCCGCGGAATCGGATGCTTCGGAAAACGCGCAGGCGCCAATATTCACGCTTGCTCCCGCGCGCGCGCATGATCATATTTCTTTATCTGCCTCGTCTTCTTTTTCTTGTTTTTGTCACTCTCTCACTTCTGTTGTTTAGCATTCACGATCCCTTCCTAACTGCGATATTTATAATCGACGAGGCAATGGAGGTCATAGGTTGATAGATTCTCACGAAGCGTCGCAATCATAAAGACTGTACAAACGATTCAAAAGGCTATATAAACGTCTTCTTCAATTCGCTTGCGTTGCAAGTGAGAAAAAGTTGGATATGGCATAGAAGCAAATCTCATTGCATGGAGAAAAAACTTGGTTGTATTAATTGATTGAGGATTGATTTCAATAAACGAACCAACGCGTTGAACGACACAGCATTTTTGGCCCTTACCCCTACCCCCGCCGTTTTCTTCGACCAAAACGCGTTGATACAATCATTACAATCAAATTTTTCTCTGCGTGTGCATATTAGTTAGCAATGTTCATACATATAATTATTATGACAGCTGGTTATTACGTCGCGAACATTATATTCATGCAAAATAGTTAACAAATTTTTTTTGGCTGTATTAACGTGAAGATTGATTTTTGGGTCAATTGGAATATCTTTTTATCTCTCTAGAATAAATCATTTCATATCATTGAAGGCTCAATACCCAGCGATTAGCAGATACATAATATGATAGTATTAAATATATAAATATGATAAGGGAATTTTAGATTCATAGATATATGAATATGATGAATAGAAAGATTTGTATATGATGAAATAATGAAGAAAGAGAGAGTAGATGATAGAAACCGCCAGTTTCTATCGCCAGATTGCGAAGATCCAATGGTGTGTATTTTAATCTGCTTATCAGAAATCACACACACCGACTCGATCTACGCAGAATACATAACAAACATCGAATGCGTCAGTTGTCCATTATCTGAATGCCGGATTAATTACACGCCTCGCGATTGTACGGCACTTCGGTTTCGTCTGTTTACACGGCGGCGAGGGAAATCGGAGCAGCGTATTACAGCTGCAGCGCGAACGAAACTGTGTCACTTACATTCGTGGTTGCAGCCATGTGAGACGAGAATGGAACTACCGCCCTATTTCTTCTGGCGTTTCCGCAGCTTGGGCTTTTAACGATGAATTCAACAAGTAGTTTTCGCGAGCAGCATTAAATGCCCTTAATTTCGAGCTATTGATAGCTTTAGGTCGAAAGATGCAGAACTAAGTGTGACAAACACACCGTGGTTTCTTCCTGCGGCTGATGATCACTGAGTCTTCTAAGACTAGCACTCGACTGTCACTCTTCACTACTCGATTTATGATTGTCGATAGTCGATAATTAACAGCCCGCGCATAATTTGTCAATAGTTCTCCACTTTTGTTTCACTAAGTCTGCCGATAAATCTGTCGAGCTGCTCGAATGTTTCCTTTTGATTTTGCAAACGTACGGGCGATTCAGAGACGAGTAACAGAAACAGTTAGGACAATAACAATAGCACTTCACAGTAATATCATTTCACAAGAGCTGCGTGTAATATCGATTTTCAAGTTTCTTCCCGTTAGAGAAGTCGCCGATCGTGTTTACGATTTTCACTGTTGACACACTAACAGAAAAAGAATGGTTAATGTCAATAATATTATTATTATAAAATATTATATTATTTTTTATATTTGTAAACTACGATATTTTACTTTTATAAGCATATTATTATTATATTATATAAAATTATAGTTAACTCTTCTGGAATACTTTCTTGTTGTTTTAATAAAACAATAGTAGCAGTGATATGCGCGTATAAAGTTATTGTCATTATCACTATAATAACACTTACTGCAAAAGCGGTTCTCCTGGTCACGATTTCTTCACTATGCGCAATTATAGTTACAAACACTTTTTCCTCAGTGTATATAGGCGCGTCTCCAAACTCGACGCTTCGATACTCTAAGACGATAAGACGAATGAATTCACCCGGCTTCTTTTGTCCCGTGCGACAGGCTGTGCGCGTATTCGCCGATTAGTCGGCTTTCGCGAAGGTCGCGATCGAGCGACTACCAGCTGTTCCACGTTTCCAACAGCGGTTTCCTCGACGCGGCGTTATGGTGCCGGCGGTCGTCTGTAAACACTGCTTAATCGGCGGATTCGAATTTGTGCCGTGTGGGTATCGCACAGTGTCGCGTCTTATCGAGGCGGCCGGCCGATCTAGATAGATCTATTTATCCGTTACTTCGTAATCGGGTCCAGCCGCGACGATGCATGCGACAACCCACTACTGCTCTCGTGCCCAATTGGCCTTAATCCGATTGTCGTTAATTGCAAGCCGGTACACATTACGGATCGCACGCCACCACTGCTACGATGACAATAATGGATCTCTCCGCGGACTCGCGTCTTCTTTCACGGGCTGATGACGAGCAACAGGCGGTTGGTCGTCCTCTCTGTACCTCATGGTGGTGCGATTTTGTGCAGACATCCTAGTATCTCTTTTGTCCTCTTATCATCCGCGTGTACTGCACTATCTCGGCGTGATGGGTTCGTGTATGCCCTATACTATATACGCACTCGGGTTCACTAAGAGCCGCGTCATGGCTTATCTTGCCGCGCGTGCCTATGATCTATGCGTTCTCAAACAAACTGCGACGGCAGGCAATATAGTTGTTAATTGTCGTCGGGGAGAAGCGTCGAATTGAATCGTTCGGTCAGCCTGTGCGAGCCGGCTTGAATCCGTCGTCGAAGCGTAGAAAGTCGGAGAGAGGGAAAAAACACGCGCGAAGATTACTACTCGTGTCTATCCGTTGGGTAAATGATCTACTTGCTCCGATCGTGCTGCAAGTTCGTGCACGAAAGTAGACGGAAAAAGATATTCTCAGTAACTTTCATTATTGTAATTAATGAACGTGCCTATATATTTTATTTATTATAATTTTCTCAGCTTTCTTTCTTTGCGAGAAAGAAGCGTGCTACATTCTCTTGAGCTAATCTCCACATATTGGAAAAAGAATTCCGCCAGAAGTAAAGTTTATACGTACAGTTGTTTGCTAAGAAGTTTACATACTTTTTTTGCATGTAAAGTTAGTGTCACTTAAAATTACGAATACTATTACAGTAGCTATACTATACAAGTATAGTAGTATATTATAGTGGTACAGTAGTATAGTACTAGGTTAGAGGAGTTAGTATTATATTACAGTTAGTAGTATAAAAGTTCAACAAATTTACTACTATAGTAGATAGTAGTTATTATACTGAAATAGGTCGAAAAATTAACTCTTTCAGAGTTACAAATGTTTTTCGGTTTTAATAATACAAATTATTTGTATATATTGTGTCGTCTCTTTGTTGCAGCCTACAGAATAATAAACACTGATTGAGAAATCGGTAAGGTTTGATTGCGTCATATAACACTGATGGTTTCATCCAAACACAGCAAAAAAAGACCAGTATAATCTCCATATACATAATATATACAAATAATTTGCGTTATCAAAACCGAAAAAAATTTTTAACTCAAAGAGTTGATTTTTCCTATTTCAGTATAATAAATACTATCTACTATTGTAGTAAATATGTTGAACCTTTATATTATTATAATATAATATAATAACTTCTAACCTAGTAGTATATTACTGTATTAATATAGTATATCTACCGTAGTAGTATATACTAGCAATATATGCATACACACAATATACTATTGTATATAACTATATTCTGATATAATATCAATATAATAATATAGTACTATATTGTTATTAAACTATAAGTTTTGAACAAATATCATAAGAAATATAACTGTAAAAAGTGCATAGATACATATAATGCAACATTTTACATATAACATATAACAACATTTTTAATGCAGTATATATATTTAACTTGAATTCACGTAAATTTTTTCTCTAATCTAATAGAGAATATAGCAATGTGTGACTGTAGCAATCATAACAGCTCTCTCCGTGTATATATATATATTTGTTTTTAGCAAATGAGTGTAAGGATTTTTCTCATTTGGAGAAATAGCGCAAAGGGCATATTGTTGCGTCAACCTTTTCGCTTCGACCGGGGCAGGAGAGAGGCAATTGATCAAATAGGGTTAATCTTAATCGTTCGCGCTTTCGGCGGATACAATAACGGGAACAACAGGCGCGATGCGTCAAAGGGATTTATTGCATTTCGGAGTTAAGCTGATTGCGTTTCGGAGCGAATCGTTTGGGTTCCCCTAGAATATGCGCGATCTCCAGAATAATTCAACGTTTCGAAGCTGCACCTTTGCGTCAGTTTCCGGCAATTTATAGAATCCTCTTTCGTCACGACGCGCATAAGTAAACTAATCCTTGACTGTGCCGTTACAACCAGACGGCGGATTGACGTGCATTGATTTAAATTGCATATCTGGTTGATAATCGAAGTTGCATAACTATTCTGTCGCAATATCGGCTGTCATTCCTTCGTATGTGACACTGTAAGCAAGGACAAACCCGCTTCAAGAAATACACACGTAGCCGGGAAAACTGATAACTTCGATACAATATATGCGATGTATATATACTCCGGTAATTAATCGTTGGATCCAGCAACTTGGACGTTTGGAGCTAATAAGCATTCTTTTGCTTGTTAGCAAGAGAATGCTTTATTACGTGAAAAAACTATTGAAAATTCTAGCTAGTTGCGGGTGCCATCTCACTACAGTTTACTCCGTGTTCTCATTGTTAAGATACCGTATTGCTCAACGTATGTGTGTGTGTGTGTGTATGTGTGTGTATGCGTCAACTTAATTAATCATAAGAGTACTGACAGAAGAGGCTTATTAGAGGATATATTATTAACGAGCAACTACCTTCATGTCACGCATGATTAATTCCTGTGCAAGCTTCGGTTTGATTGGCAAATAGAATGCTAATTTTAACGCGATAGAAGTTTACATCTATAAACGGAGTGTCTTCGTGTCGAAGTCAAAAACAGTGACGGAATAATTACAGAGCTGCAGATTAATACGGATGTAATTGATGTTCCGAATTAAATAGATTCACTCGATGCGGTACTATCAAACAGAGCGGCAATGTGCCAACAAGAGCATACTCTTAATAATTTTTGTTCTCCACAACGCATTTGAACAAGTCCATTATAAGCTTGTTATATCGCGAGGCGAATATCATTTGGCGAATATCATTCGCGTAGCACTATCTCTCTCTTCTCTCTCTCTCTCTCTCTCTCTCTCTCTCTCTCTCTCTCTCTCTCTTTCCTTTTACGCGCATTAGTTATCTATGAATGTTATTTTCCTAATTACTGCAATAGTAGTAATTCTCACTTCTTATCTTGTCATTAATTGCCGTGAGATACAGATTTCCTAGAGATGTTCGCGCGAAAAGACTTCTCGAATTGCTGTTAGAAAGATAAGATAGATCACTGCTTGAGAAAGATAAGATAGATTCGCAGAATGCATAAGTGGAATTTTTCGAGCGATATGCAAACAATTACGACCCCTATTCTTATTCTAACCTCTTTCGCGCCTGTCGAAGTATGTGATAAGAGCGTAAACATAACCTAGAACCTGTAGTCTTCTTTTTTGTCTAAAGTACTATCTGCCCGGTTCGGTCGGAAAATCGAGATTCGAATCTGGCATGTACTTAGTATCAGCTCTGTCACTATTAGCTTTCTCTTTTCTCACTACCTCTAAACGGTAAGGCATTTCGCGCGGGATATTGCAGCTGCTTGTAAGTCTCGAAGTAGTCCCCGGAGTCTAAACAAATATCTGTTCGCTCCGCCTCCTCGAATAAAATAAATGCGCCAACTTAATGCATTCCGCGACAAATTGCTCCACCCTATGCCTCGTGTAATCACATAAATTGTCATTGGCTGAACCGTTTCTGTTCAACAACCGATTGTTGCTAGTGTGCGAAATTCTCGAGTCCTCGCGGGTTTTCGATCTTGACGACTTGGTGCTGCGCGTTTCTCGTCTCTATGGGAGGAATCGCGCGAATTCGTTCACTCGCTCACTCCAACAGCCGTACTCGAACGTCGGCTGGCTGCGCGTCGTTATTCCGCGAACGTAAAGTTAATTAAAGTAATCCTCGGTTAATCGGCGTCGCCGGCACAGCCTGAGGCCGTGCGCGCGCTCGTGCGCTCATTATGTCGCCTTTATAAGTGCGAGTGCCGCCGCTCGGCGTGATTAAAATTTAAAGCGGCGCGCACGCCATTTGCTCGGCGAAACGAGCACGGCGAAATATCGACCTTGTCCTCGTACCTTTTAACTTTTTCCTACGCCTGAGTCAAAGGGCGCGCTTATTTGTTCGTTTGCTTGTTAATGTTACACGCCTTCGTTACCGCGTCTTAGGTATATTATTGAAGACGGCGATTTATGCATGGCGAGAGAATGTAAATATGAGATTTATACTGTGCGAAGTAATTGAATTAGATTGCTCTCCCAAGTAACTTTATCGTTCATTTAAAGAGTGATACTGAAGACCTATAGCTTTTTTGGTATCTATTCTATAATGTTCAGTAAAGATATTTTTACTTTAGGTGTGCTTAATTTTGCACATTCAGTGCAAACTGAAATAGATCCATGCAATGGAGCTATTCGCGATGCAGATATTCGTTCGGAACAATCCTTTGATTATTTCAAGCGATGCTCTCGGATCGAAAAATATTAAAATATTCTTTCGTATTTCTGCGACACTTCTATTTCTTCTGAAAGCATTTAAAATGCATAAACATATAGAAAAGATGGTATCATACATCAATGTTTTTAATATTAATATAAAAATATGTATTATAGTTGTAATGATATGATATGATAGAGATATAATTGTGACTATATTAATATATTATAGCTATGATAAGTATAATAGTTGTGAATTTAAGTGAGGGAACTAGAAAGACGTTGGTTATTGAGATCTAACAAAATGAAATTTAAAATTATGATATCTTATTAAAATTATGATATCTTATTCTCTCCCTTTCTCTCTAGATATCGCAAATTAATGCACAATACGAAGTTATGTATGTATGTATATTACTTTTTTGCTCATATTCCAGGTAGAAAAAATCTTTATTTACGTTATTTTAAAGAATAGCTATTATATTGTTGGTAATTGTTGCCACCTTCTTGGCAATGTCTAAACAGTTTCTAACATGTGACCACATAAAAATTATTTTATTGTATATATTACATTTACAAATTTATAAAACATTCTGCTTTTTCTAAAATCTTTCGTCTTGCTAAATCGATGAGTTTACTATGTACTAAAAATTGACACTTTGTAATGATTGGCAAAGGATTTTACTCAAGTTTGGATTTAAGCTAAAATAAATATTGCGTAAATATTGTCTTTATCAAAGATATTGTCTTTACAATATCTGTATCCTTAGCATATAGTAGATTGATTAATTTAGCAATATAGTAATTTAGTGAGATGAAAGACTTCAGTAACAATTTAAGAAAATGTGAATTATTAAGAAAAATGTTACAATTTATTTTGTTATGTTTATTTTGTTATATCTCAACAACCAGTGCCATCCTTGGTTTTTCCTGTATATCACTTTTAACTATCATTTCTATATTAATATTAAATTAATATCTATATTAATATAAAAAAGTCGGTGTGAGATGTTATGTTTTTTATATATTTGTTTTAAAATGAAACTGTGTGCATGCCTTTCATAGTTACCAAAAATAGTCTAT